CTGCTTCTCCCTCTCCCACTCCCCCTGCTTGTGTTCCCTCTCTCGCTGTGTCTCTCTCTGTCAAATAAATAAAATCTTAAAAAAAAAAAAAAAATTGTCTACACCTTTACTGCTAATCTTCATACATTAATTCTAATTACAACACTTCACCTGCATCCCTGCCCCCAAATACAAACGCAAGTAAGAAACTTACATCAGTGCCTTTCAAAATTAACCACTACCTATTCAGGAAGGAAAAGAGAAGGAAGTAAATACAAAAAACTGGAGGAAGATAGGTGACAAGGACTGGCAGACAGAAGAGAGAAGATATAAAAAGAGACAAGCTTGGAAAGAGACACATCCTGGGAAGCCACTAATGGCTTTCTATGGATATTCTCCACCCCTCCCCTGTGCCAAGAAAATAAAAATCAACAAAACAGATCCCATATCATTTCCCATGCCAAATCTTGTTCTGTCTAATATTTAAACCATAAGGCAAAAAGATACGCAAAGTCCCCACGGAAATGGCAGTAAGCATTAACAACGTAAGAGAAGTAATGTGGTATTAGACCATCTGGGGTTAAAAAGCAACAACATGAAATGCAGACAAAGAAGAGCTCCCCCACACCCCCACACAACTGGATCCATAGAGCAGTTCTGGGAATATACCCCTGACTGGAAATTTCCTTTTAGAAACCATGGTGGAATCATTTCTAAGGTTTATTCAGAAAAATACCGCACATACCGGAGTAGCATGGTCCTCTTGCTACTACTGTTATCTCTTTCTGGTGTTTACAAGCAGCCCTTCTGAGAAAGCATTCATTTTGATAAGTGTCCCCATTTGATCCACAGACAGGAATGTAATTTGTATGACACTGCAAAAGAAACAAAAGTAAATTCTCAAAACTAGGCATGAATATTAATAGTTTACTTCATATTCATGAATGTAACACCATAGTATTGTGACATACTTCTACAGAATAGTTTGCTCTTTTATTTGGTTTGAAAAAAAAGAGTTATGGAGCACCTAGGTGGCTCAGTCGTTAAGCATATCCCTTCAGCTAGCTCAGGTCATGATTCCAGGGTCCTGGATCGAGACCCATATCTGGCTCCCTGCTCAGCGGGAAGCCTGCTTCTCCCTCTCCCACTCCCCCTGCTTGTGTTCCCTCTCTCGCTGTGTCTCTCTCTGTCAAATAAATAAA